CGGTCGACATGGCTACGGTTATACTTCGACTCGAACAGTTTTGAATCAAGGTACCTATACTATGTTGTAGAGCTGTTTGGACGTTATTAAGAAAAAGAAATTTGACCAGAATTATTAAACAGATGTACGTGTAATTTGAAATTATTAGATATTTAACTAATTTGTCGCGTAAACAGCAATATGCTTGATAATTTAGAATTAGGTATTCCTTTTTCTGAACGAAATATTTATTTTATTGAACTTCAATGATAATTCGATATTTTTACCAAAAAGAATTTGATTTTAGTTCTTTTGTATTTGATAGGCAAAGTACGTGGGGATAATCAAGTTTGTTAGATACTTATCCGTGATTTTATTCGCATTCAAAAAATTTTAATAACCGATTCTATCGAGCTTGCTTTCACACTGCCGCCTGCGTTTCATTCTGACTCGCGTCTCTTGCCCCACCGACCGTTGTCCGCTATTGATTCCGGGTTTCGTGCGGCCTTCTCCGTATGTACGTTCGTGCAGCGGCTCTTGCCGCGCCGGTTCCCTTCTTTTTTTTTCTTTTTTTTTGGATTGCTTTGATCGAAATCTTTTAGTTGTTCATGATTAGAAGTAGAAAGTACAATTGATTTTAGTATTTTTAATGCAGAATGATGTATTCTGTGAATTGTTTTTCCCGCTCAAATACTTCACTATTTTTTATTTTTGTTCTGTTGGATATAATTTTTGTTGTGTTGGATATCATTTTTGCAATTATTTAGTCTTCCACACGCAAATTTGCTTCAAACTTACAGGAAAAATACAAGAAAAATGTTTAATTTTCATTAAATGTTTTATTTATTGACAATGTAAAATTGATTCCAAATTTGTAAACTATGTTGAAATTTTAGAAAATCTTTATTCCATATGATTCTTTGGTGCTACTTTTGGTTTTTCATATCTCATCTTAATAGGTACTATAATATTAACGCACGTAATATACATATAAAACGGATGTGTATAAAATATACGATGTATATTCTTATACATACTACATAAATCCAAACAAGTTAAATAAAAAATAAGATTGAACCTGCTTATTTTGAAATTTTAGAAAAGTTAGATTACTGCTCATTCCAGTTTTTTTACATTGTTTCTTCATATTAGGTATACTAGTTTAATAACTTTATACCCTTCATTTTAATCTCAATAATTTTCATTCCTTCTCGTTTATATTCTAGTATAATTAGAAGTGAACCACTCTTGTTTAATAATATAAATATATTTTAATATTTCAAATAATAAAATTAATTGTCGGTTTATGAATTATTTAAGAGCTAAGAAGCAGAAAATAAACGGCTGTGGCTTTAAAGATTCGACTAATTAGACTGTTTCAAATTGAAACATATTTTGCATCTTTCACAGACTCAACCACGAATATCGACCGAATACGGATAGACGTATATTGATATAAACATTTTCACATTTAAAACATGGTTCTGTAACAAGTTCAAATTCGTACGACGATGTCAACAAGTTACAGTTGAGCTACGTACATACGTGATACGTTATAAATAGATCTTTAGTGTTGTGCTTAAGGCAAACTTATTTAATAATATGTCGACAATGTCCGATCCAGGCGAATCGATGGGAAACGCGAGGAATATTTTGAAATTATTATTATTCTGAAATTGCAGTATTAGAGAATGTCGGTTAAGAACATCGAAGTACTGTATTTTTTCGATATTCCAATAAAGTGCATTCAATATACCGGGACATTGAAAACGTATTTGGAGCAATATTAAAAGGGGAGTTCGAATGAAAGTTAAGATTAAAGTCGGTATCTATCAGGTGAAGAGAAAGTCAGAAAGTGGTCCGAAAATTTAAGATTACAGTGATAAAGATAAGTGGAGGAAATAAACTTACGTTTTTTCTTGAACATAAAATGTTGAACATAATAGTATTAAAATAGAAAAGAAAAAATACTTTTGTGCTATTTTCTTTGTAAATTAAATTGGAATTGTTGACTTCGTTTTATATGTTATATACAAAGTAACTGATAATTATTTTTAGAAATATTGTCTTATATATCACAG